AAGCTGGGGGCAGCCAAACCAATACATGATACCATTCTATGAGGTAATTGACAAGTGGACTGAGCCATATAAGTAGGTGTAGACTACCTGGTTGGGATCCGCCGGATAATTGTAACCGATGGTTAGAGACTTTGAATGACATGGCTGGAAGTCGTTTGCAATGGCGCAATTGCATCCATTCGTGGTATTCTCCCAAATCCCGAGCTGAATTCCTCACGACCTTCATCTCTTCGCCTTAAATTTCGCTGGATTATACTCCTTGAATACTCCTTGTGCTATCGCTACCACTATGGGATTTGAATTGAAAATTGCGTCTCTGTGCTAAAATGGAATAGCAAGTCGTATGTACGTGCGTAAGAAGTTCTACATTGTAGCTGACTGACTTATTCTATTTTCGTTATGTGTTCTCATCATTTGTTTAAAACCTATTGTATTTTTCTCAAATCAAAAGGATCATAGAAGTAGTGACATATTTTCAATTAGAATTATGGAGATTAGTGTTTTTACACATTTGAAATCATCAATCAATCATTGTTAGACCACCATTAGGGAAACCTGGAAGCACTGGACGGCCGTTTCTTCCTGGTATGGGACTTATCAGCAGTGCGCATCCACGACTCCTGCACCTCGCAGGATTCGAATTTATAAATAATATAAAAGTGATCAGTGAAATGACATCATGGTGTTGCGCGAAGTGTTCAATAAGATTAAAACAATCCTAAAAGAAATAGGTCACAGGTTTAAAAAGTGCTGGAGGAAAAGTTCCAGAATATTGAACTAATGAACAGATATCAAAGAAACTTAAGATGAGATTGTGTTATGAATTAAACGAGATGAGATTCGTAAAAAATGATTTGTTGTCAAATTAGTCTACTAGGCTCATAATTGTAAATTCAAGAGAAGTGAAAATGACATAATTGAAGCATGAATTGCGATAAAGGATTCATTCATGTTGAAAGACTTCATTGTATTCACTTGATATCCTGTATCAAGACAGATGTCTTGAGATCGCATTCGCGAATGTTTTTAGCCCACTTGGAATATGTTCTTTTAAATCGAACGTAAGCCCCTCATTCTTTTCTACTAATATAACTCTACCTTGGCAGATGCTTATGAATTTGTATACATAGTTTGCAGTAACACGAAACGAAGTACCTGATAAACTTTATATTGAAGAACATGTTTTTAACAAATAATTTCGCTGTAGGATGTTTTCGCCAACGTAGTTTCTAGTTCTAGATTTATTCTCTCTGTAACACCATCGCCTGGAAATTTAAGTTCACCCTTCCCCTAATTCTTGATAAGCTTCTGTGGATCATTATTCATGAAAATAAGGGAATAGTAAATCGAAAATTAAACGGACAATATGTTGATCTGCATTCAGTTTCCAAATCATCAGTGATACTTAAAAATTGAGTCTAATGTTTCAAACTACTTATATACCTGACAAGTAGGCTAACATCAGGAACCTAATATAAATATATACAAATATTGATAAGATGTTGTTTAAAGTAGGGTTAAACTTGTGCTTGTGCTAAACCTTTGATCTTGGAGGTTTAATCCATGAGACAGTGGGATGATCTTAGGAGATACAGTTTCACTGTAGCCGGTGATTAACAGAAGGTCTATATAGTATTTTTTCCTTCAGAATCCTGGATCTCAAGTGTGTGATTGGTTTGATATGAGAGTTTTCCAACTGCTCTTAATGGATCCTCCATTTCCACTGAACCAGTTTAGGCTTTGGCCTTGTCCTCAACATGGTAAATAACATCTTTGTCATGATAAGGCGGTGAAATTTTGATTTTCATTATTGATGCATACACCACATTGTTAGTACATCTGATTGTAAGATCAACTTAGGACCGACCAACGGTAGCCACAATTTTAATATACTGATTTCTTATAACTAAAAATTAACATTGAGGTGTTCATCAAGTTGGAATAGTGACTTTTTAATTAAAGCTGTACATATAAATAATATCGCAAACGCTGAACAAAAGTCAATAGGTTATTAGAACTTAATAAGTTCTATTTTCATCGTGTACATTAAGACTGAATAGTTGGTTTGTCTAATTAAGGTATCACAAATCAAATGAAATATAATTGGTCGTGAATTCCATTGCTTACTCACTTACACCTGTTACGCCAATTGGAGCATGTTGTGTTGTGTTTCTTGAAACCTACTACTGAACTTGTCGTCTTCTCCTGCCTTTGTTGTTGCATGTGGAATATAAGGGTTAGATCATTTGCTAAGTCCAAATAGTCTTGCTACATCCAAGCTGTCCACTGTATACCTTGCCTCCCCCTACCAGATATTGACGTCTCTGTAATCCCGTCGATCACCAGGAAAAAGTGGAAGGATAAAAGTAAGCAACTTGCCTGACTTCAGTCTTTACTTAGAAATAGTATGTGAGCTGTCCTCCATGCATGACTTATAAATGTAGTCCTTCATAAGAAGTCAATATGATGTTGACTGTTTTCTCAGTCACACGAGAATGTTGAAGAAGCATTCAGTGTGTCATCCTGTCTAAGATATTGAATGCTTTCTCGTCTTCACGGAAATTGGTGTACAGTCGTGATTTATATTATGGAGATTGTTCCACAATGATCTATAGGATGGTGACTATTTAGGTACATAACTGATCGATCGTTACGGAATCCAGCTTTCTGATCTCAAAGCTGGGCATCTGCTGAATCCTTCATTCTGTCCAACAACACTATGTTGAACTCTTCCTGGTATTGAGACTAGAATGATTCTTCTGTTGTGTTCACTGTGTAAACAAAATCTCCTTTCTTTAATATTTTGATGAGATTTTCTTCTTTCCATTTTGTTGGTACTTTTTATTCCTCACAAATCTTTTCGACCAGCATTCTCCAACGTACTCTGTTCTGGATCTTCCTTTTTTGTTCCATCCAATTATAAGCTAGAACAAACCAGATTCCGGTGGAGGAAGAAATCAGGAAGAGGCGCTGTAAGTGGATAAGATACATATTGCTTAAAATACCTAACTGCCTTACAAGACAAGTGCTCACTTGAAACCCTCAAGGTCAAAGGAAAAGAGGAAGGCCAAGGAACACATGATGTACATGTTCTTTTTTATCATATTTGTCTCCATTTCTCGGCGTAATGTGGTTTTTGGTCTTGCTCTTTTCCTTTGACCTTGACAATTCCATGTGACAACTTGTGTTGTGACTCTGTTGGATATTTTCCTCATTGTGTATCCTATCTACTTTTAGCGCTTCTTCCTGATTTCTCCCTCAGCTAGAATCTGATATGTTCTCTCCCACAAAATAGGTGGTTGCTGACAATGTCTGACAAACCAGAGAAAAAACGAATATTTATCTATTTCAATCTCATTTGTAGTCGTGATAGAGATTATTCTGTTCATCTTTATAATATGGCTATCGCTAACAGGGAGAGAGAGAGAGAAAATCAACACTACTCAGTACATTTAAGTAGTATAAGATGACATCAATTTAATTAATACTTAACATTGTTTATATTTAATCAAAATTTTATAAAAAACAAACAATACTCATCATTCTTAAGTGTTTATTTTTCTAAAAACGTAACACTTAATTTGAATGACATTGATTCACTTGATATTAAATATACTACTTAATTAAAATTAGGGTTGATTAATGACAGTAGTGTGTATAGTTGCTTGTAAGTGTGTGTGTGTGTATCTATATATATACATAATAACAATGAGATTATCCTTCCGGAAATTTGTTTGAACTTCCTAAATCAAGTGTGTGTGTGTGTTATTTTCTGTTTCATAGTTGAATGATTGAACTACGCGCTATGAAAATGTAGCGCACATCAACTTTCAATATTCAATATCTGGTATTTCTGTACCATTCATTTAGTAGTTAATAAACATTAGAATCATTGTGAACTGGATTGCAACACACTTTAAAAATTATATACTTCATTTGTTTCTTCATTTTAAAAATATCAGATAAGTTGACATTATTCTTATCGTACGTATCATTATTATTCAAAAAAATGACAGGTATAAATAGGATTTTGTTATGGTTGAATGAGATTTCCGGTAAAAACAATACTTTCTCTTATTATAAGTGTAAACTGATTGACCTATTAAATCGATGAACATTGAAAATAAAAATAATATTCATCCTCACATTCACTAAGATATGTATGGATGAACAGAATTTCAAAAAAAAAAATTTTTTTTTCAAAAAAAATTAAAACAAATTCAATATTTCAACGTTCAAGGTCATTGTCATTTTGTTTGAATATAGTGTGTGTGTGTGTGCGCGCATAAATTCGTTTGTCTTTTTTTGTGTACGTTTGTTTCATTTTTCCTTTTTCGCTACAAAAAGTAACATTCACTCTTTAACGAACGATTAGTTAGTTAAAAAAAGGAAAATGTCCCTCTTTTTTTCTTGTTCAATAAACGCAATGTATTTTGGGAAAAAAAGAGAAATTTACTATTACCCCATCTTCCTACATTTTTAAAAAAAATAATAAATATACTTTTTCCAAGTTTTTGTTTTGTAAATGGACATTGAACTATATAGTTATTGTTGATAAGCTTTTTAGTTTATGATCAGTTAGTTATATTTTTCAATTTTTGTCAGGGAAGAGATAAAATCAGAGAGACAGAGATAATGATGACAGCGTTTTATTTTCTTTTCGACCGATTTGTCAAAGTGTGCTTAATTGGTTATGAAATGATCAGCGCGAAAAAAACAACCAAATTCCATGATCGTTTCGCTTATCAATACCGATCTAACCGAACAATATTTTTTTTTTCAATTTTATTCAACCAATCAAATTCATTGGTCTAAATGACAATTGTACCGTCGATTTTGATTGGTTCATTTCGGCGTTCAATTTAAATATATATAGATTTAAATATGCATTTATCAATGTGGTAACATCGAGTGTGTAGTTAGTTATAATGGGATTTTTTTTTTAAAAAAACGACTGAACATTGAATAAATTATTATTATAATTTTTTCAAATAGAAATTATGAAATTATTATTATTATTATTTTTAAAATATATAATTTTGACAAAATTATTAATTTTACAAGCAACAACAACAATATCCAATACTAATAACTATTATTGGAATTTGAAAAAATCCACAAAACTGATGAAAGAACGTCAATGTGTATTTCCGTCAGTTTATAAACGTAAAGCAATTTATGCATGTCAACATATGGATCTATCTGCACCGAATGAACACATTCCTATTGAACACATTGAACAACCACAAGAACATCGACAGACATTAAAATCAAAATGGTGGTGTCCTCTGACTGATAATTTTGATCATTATCCTGAATGGCAATTATGTCCAGAGACTGCCTCGACATATGCTGGAAATCAACCAGGTAAATCATGTCATTTTCCATTTATATATCAGAAACGTTTATATTCAACATGTATACGTCATGTTGGTGAATTGAATTTTGAACATATCAATGATACTATACCAATTGATAATGGTAAAACTGGTTATTGGTGGTGTGCAACTACTGGGGATTTTGATTTTGATGGTTTATGGACAAAATGTCGACCACAATTACCATATCAATTACCATGTTATTTTAAACAAAAATCTACAACAATTATTGGCGGTTTAATTAAATCTAGTGATTATGAATGTCAACCATTTGTTGGTCATTGGATATGTCATACAGAGTTGAATCAGCTACGTGAATGTCCACAAACAACTACACAGAATGTTAATAGTAATACTGATAATAATAATAATCAGATTAAAACTGAAGGTGGCAATGATCCTGGTTTTCCATGTCATTTCCCATTTCAAGCAACTTTATCCAATCCGAAGAAACCACAAAATTTTACACAATGTCTACCTGGTATTACCAATCTGGATAATAGATCACAAAATTCCCAATATTTATTAAAAATTTATCCAACATGGATTGGTTATTGGTGTGCAACTACCGAGAATTTTGATCGTGATCAATTATGGACACGATGTAATTTGAATATGTTGCCAAAAACGCATTTCTATGCAAATAAACAAACATTTTCATTAGCAGAAATTTGGACCAGATTAAATTGGTTACCAATGTTGTCGAATAAAGAAATTGCGGAATTTTCAAATAGACATTTTCTTGTTCATGAAAATTCATTTCAACAATCATTTCATTTCATTGAATATTTACGTACATCATGGGAATTTTTTATGCGAACAAGTTCACCACCTTATCATCATCATCATAATAATAATAATCAACCTGAGAAGATCACTTCCAATCAAAATAACTTAGAATTAACATGGTGGCTATGGTTGACACCATTTTGGTGGTTCACTACTACAACAACTTACAAACAATTGAATCATACTGATCCGATCGATAAACTATTTTCTACCCGATCAATACCAACATTCACCGATTACAACGCACAACCGAATCCGCTGATTCATGGTTTACAGTTGCCGGCATGGTTAGATGATTGGAGTGAATCAGCATGGGATGATTATGCGATGAATATGAAAACACGATGGCGTTTCTTATTAACACATATTTATTATAAATGGTTACAATCATGGTTAACAGCATTTTCAATTGGTTTTCTAGTTGGTATCCTACTCATTGTGATTATTTCATCTTTGATATTGATTTATTTGAAAAAATCACTGCGTATACAATTGGTGAACAAATTATTATTACAATCAAACTATTCTTCTCAATCAACCATGTATTATCATCAATTGGAGAAAACTAGAAATGGCGCGAAATTCAGCATCACTCCAATTAGACCGTTAAAACAAATTGGCCAGTTGAACATTGATCAAAAGTGTGCGAATGTGTTGCATTCCAAAGCATTGTATTCACAAACTGACTGCCTTGTCAATAATAATAATAATAATAGTAATAATAACATTGATAATAACGATCTGATAATCACAACACATCCTGTCCATGATTTGGTGAATTTAGAAGACAGTGAACAACATTCCTTAGATAAATCAATAAAACCAAAAATCGATACATGTTGTTGTGATTATTTATGCAATAGTAATAATGATAACAATAGTAATAATGACAATGATGTGAACAATACTACTGATATTTGTACCATGAGTAGTATTTTAAATCATGATAATAATTATCATCATTTTAGTGAATCTATTAAATATTTATTAGATGAATTTATTATTCAACATTCCAATCTTAATATTACGAATAATAATGAGGCTTATTTTAAACAAATTTATCATCTGTCTAGTAATCTTTACAAATATTTACATGCACATGACTCTGATGTAGAGGATTTGACGAAATGCTGTTGCAGTCTACATGACAATACTGACGAATTATGTCATCATGGACAAGTATGCCGTTGTTGTTGTCATCTTTGTCGTCGTCGTCATCATCATCATCATCATCATCATTGTACCGGCCTACATCACTGCGCATCGAATCATCAACGATGTGATTATTGTGGTCAGAAACAGAAATTCCCCATAGACTATCATCCCAACTGTTATGACTTGAATTATATGACTACACATGAAAGTGAGATGATGATGAGTGAAAGAACTGATCAGTTGGTTATTGAACCAAGCGCTCCACCGCCAAGCTATGATCAGATTGCACCGATTTTGTAAGTATTTGATAGAATTTTATTGATTTTTCGATTTATCGATCTATCTATCTTTCTATCCTATCCTATACTATACTATACTATCTATCTATCTATCTATCTGTTTATCTGCCCATCTACCTATCCATCTACCTACCTATCTATCTATCTATCTATCTATCCTATCCCATCCTATCCTATCTATTCATTCAATGTTTTCAATCATTTTTGTTTATATATTTTCCCAAGAAGAAAAACAAGTGTATTTTTAAAATTGTTTTTCTCTTTCATGAATAATGTACAGCATTTCCTTGCCTCTCGTAATTCTCTCTCTAATTTTTTAAATTTTAAATTGTATTACATAAATTTCTCTTCGCTTTTGTTTTAATTTTCAATGAATCTTGTTTTGTAACGCGATTGAACATTGAAACTAACAATCAAACAAATAAACAAACAACAAAAACCCGGGAAATGTGAACTTGTTTATTCATTATCGAATAAACAAATAACTAACTGTCAACAACAATGTTACACAGTTCATTAAACTGATCAGTGATTAATTGAAATATCACAGTTTACTTGTGTGTGTGCGTGTATGTATATATACATACTTGTGTATTGCATTTTGTATGTAGGTACGGAAGTGAATATATATATATATATATATATATGTAAAGTTTGATAAAGTATTTACTGTTTAACTGATCAATGTTTGTGTATAGCAATCATGTGTGAAAATGTTAATGACTATGATATTTGTAAATATAAAAAAGAGTCAAACAGTTTTGACATTTCGTTGTGTATTCTTTGGATATTGCTCGTCAATCGATATGACTGAAAGTGTTACGCTCGTCACTAAGTACGCTTGAGGCTATCACGAGTTCACTTTGGTTGATAAACGCGAACGAGACAATGAAACAGCGTCCAGATAGGCTACCTTGAATCCCAAACTAAGGTAAGAAGGCTTTGTAAGCGTAGAAAGTATATTCTACAAACACCCAGCAAACACACAATACAATCAAGCATACAACTCTCGTTTATTTATACATCATAGAAACGTTCTTGGGACAGTTAAGAAAATAGCACACTAAAATACAACACAGCAGCCAATCACAGCCATGGATTTTCCTGGTGTGAATTGAAATCTCAAGGTCAACTGATCAGCCCATGCTCGCAAACGTAGACTCCAAAATAAGGCATTTCACAAGCGAGTTTTGGGGATCTAACATCTCCAACAGAAAGTATTACGAGTTCATCTTACTCGGTAAACGACAGCGAAGACAAATGATCCAGTTACACGATAGGCTACTCTAATCCGACTGTCCCCGGTCCAGCTAACTTTATCAAGAAGTTTTGATAAGGCATTTAAAGGGTATTCTACAAGCACTCAGAAAACATGAGGCTTCACAAGCACACAAATCGAGTTTATTTATACAATGATAGAAACGTCCTTGGGAGAGCCATAAAAATAGCGTACTTAGGGAATCCGTCAACCAATGGTAGTCATGGATTTTCCGAGTGGGAGGTGTAATCTCAAGGTCAACTAAGCAACTTATGCGTGAAGACACAAAAAATCCAAAATCCTCCTGGAAGAAATATTTTTTGAAATCATGAATCGATTAATGTTAGACCAACACCATTAGAAACCTGGAATCACTTGACGACCGTTTCGTCTTCACATGAGACTACTATTCAGCAGTGCGCATCTACGTCTCCTGTATAAGTTAGTAGCTATGTGAATTTATCATTTGAGTAGTTAATATATTGAGTGTTGTTGGTTGATACCAGTTTTTGACTTCTAAATGTTCTCGGATTGTAGAAATACCGCCCTTGCTTTACTAGTCACTGTTTTTATATCTGCATCAGATCCACCTTGCACATCTATGATGCTGCCCAGATATGTAAAGGTTTCTTCATCTTTCAAAGCTTTCACAAAACTATCACAAAGCATACAATTCATTCCTAACAATCATTTCCACCACATTTAGATCAGTGCCTCATTTTCATAGACTGTGCAATATGAATGTAAATGTTTCTGTCATATCTATCATATCTGACTGATGGTCCCACGTTCGAATCCCGAGAGCAGTGGGAGTCGTGGATAACGGTCAGAAATGGGATTTACGACGACACGAGTTTCATCATGTGTCGTCAGACTTGTCATAATCTGAGTGTATCTTCCAGATTTCAAAACAGATCTTCACTCCGAGACTTAAATCTCATATCGTTTGTTTGAAACTTACTTACTTACTTACGCCCGTTACCGACAATGAAGCATAGGCTGCTGATCAGTATTCTACAACCTACTTTGTCCAGGGTCTTGCTTTCCAATTCTGTCCCAATTATTGTTCATTCTTCTCATATCTGTCTCCATTTCTCAAGATTATGTGTTTCTCAGCCTTGCTCTTTACATTTGGCCTTTAGGATTCAAAGTAAAGGCTAGTCTTGTGATGTGGTCAGATGCTTCATCCTAATGTTTCTTCTCAGCTGGAATCTGGTTTGCTTTCAGTCTTTAGTCCAAACAATAGAAAAAAGACGAATAACGTTCATATTGCAAATTCTGACTCTTAGTGTGTGTTTTTCTGTTGAATCATAAACCATAAAATTGAAATTTTTCAACAAAAAACCAAAATCACTTTCACAATCATTTCAGACACACATTTAAATCAGCAGTGCCTCATTTTCATATAAACTGTACAATATGGATACTGATGTTTTGATCATTCATTCCCTTTTCACCACATTTTCCCAAAGAATTAAACAATGATATTTTTATGTATATTACTATTATTATTCATATTATAAAGTAGTATATCAATTTTTACGAATATCATTGTTTTGTTTTGGCTTTTTTATTGATTGGCGACAAAAATTATAAATGGCGTCAAATTGTACATTGAACAAAATGAAATAAAACAAAAATGTCATTAGATATTTATTGTACATTGAATAATAATGACTGACTATATTTTTTTTAAAAAATATGTATATATATTTGTGGAAAATATGAATGTAACTTTCATTTATTTAGTCATTCGTTCATTTTTAAAGCTTGTTTAAATGAGGATATGTGCCTGGGATTATTATTGGATTGTTACAACTTACCGCTCTCGAACAATACAAGCATGTTCAGGATGCGGTTTTCCCCCTCGAAATGCAAAATGTTGCTTCAAGATTGGGTTGAATCGGCACCTGAACTAGTGATAGAGAGTGAAGTAGTCAAACGTGTAGACCGCTTCACTTATCTTGGGAGTCTGATCAGTGCTGATGTCCTGGTGACTGACGAAATCTCAGCACTGATACAGAAGGCTCGATTGGCTTTTGTCAATCTGTCATTTATGGCGCAGGCGAGATATCCGTTTGCTGACTAAAAGAAGGAGTGTACTGTGCAGACGTTCGCTCCGTCTTACTTTATGGCTGTGAAACATGGCCAGTGAGAGTAGAAGATATACGTCGGTTACTGGTTTTCGATCATAGGTGTCTCAGAAGCATTGCTCGTATATCGTGGGACACTCGAGTGAGCAACGCTGTTATTAGGAATCGGGTGCTAGGTAAGAATGGCAGATCAATAGATGAAGTAATGAAACTTCATCAGTTGAGGTTGTTGGGACATGTGTTGCGTATGCCTAACCACCGACTACCTCGAAGAGCTTTGTTTTGTAGTGTAGGAATAGGTTGGAAGAAAGTTAGGGGCGGCCAAACCAAAACATGGCACAAATCCATGAAGTCATTGACGAGTGGTCTTAGCCATGTCGGTAGTTGTCGACTACCTGGTTGGGGTACGCGAGATGATAATAATCGATGGTTAGAGACCTTGAATGACATGGTTCAAAACCATTTGCCATGGCGCCGGTGCATTTATTCTTTGTGTTTTCTCAAAGCCTATTCTTCTGGATTCTTCAACCCCTCTAGTTTTGCCTCACTAAACTTATCTCACTGAATCATACTTCTTGAATAATATCTTCTCATCCTAACCTCTCCGATTACTTCTAATACCTTTACTACCTCTACTACTCTATTGGATTTGAATCGACAATTACATCTCTGTGCTGATGTGGTATGGCAACATGAACTGATTTACTTATGTACGAAGTTCTACGTTGTAACTGACTGACGGACTACTTTTTTTAAAAAATATGTAAATATGTATATATTTGTATTTACACAAAACGTGAATGAAACTTTTATTCATTCAATCATTTATTCGTTCATCTTTAAAGCTTGTTTAAATGAGCCTATGTCCCTGGGATTATTTTCAATTGTTACAACTTACCGCTCTCTGTTTATTGCCCCAAAAACATTTAATTAGAGTCATTAACCCGCTCATTAACCCTAAGCGCATTGGTGGTCGATAAATATATCGACTTTTGTTTACTGAGTTAGTTGATACATGTGTTATGCCTACATATATCATTGTGTTATCTTGTCTTTTAAACAGGCCTCTCAAGTATCTCAAATACTAATCTTTAGTTTTCTCCTGTAAGAAGAAGAAAGATGTACAATGTGGAGCGATGTTTCTGTCTATGTTTATGAAACCTGATCTTATTGGTCTAGAATGCATAGTACTGTAATTAAAAGGCCGAACACGTACGATTGCAGCTATTAAACTAATATATACATATGATAAGTTCGTCACTAAGTATGCTTGAGGCTATTACGAGTTCACCTTAGTCGATAAACGCGAACGAGACAATGAAACAGCGTCCAGGTAGGCTACCTTGAATCCCCAAATCAGGTAAGAAGGCTTTGTAAGCGTAGAAAGTATATTCTACAAACACCCACCAATCACACAATACAATCAAGCATACAACTCTCGTTTATTTATACATCATAGAAACGTTCTTGGGACAGTTAAGAAAATAACACACTGAAATACAACACAGCAGCCAATCACAGTCATGGATTTTCCTGGTGTGAATTGAAATCTCAAGGTCAACTGATCAGCCCATGCTGGCAAACGTGAAAACCAAAATAAGGCATATTTATCAAGCGAGTTTTGGGGATCTAACATCCCCGACTGACTGA